CTCTCTCCTTCATCCATGCTACCCCTTCGCCTCTCTGTACCTCTACACCAGGATGGTCCCCTTCTGTCTGCTTAAGACCAAGACTTGTTACCCTCATGGGTAAGGCACTATAAGGTGATCATGTCCCCCATTCAGACTCTATTGGATACTTCACCTCCTATATTTCCTCTATGCTTGGCAGGGGGGTGGTGATAGTGGTTGTGGTCATAATGCCATGTTCAAATGCCCACATCTTCTTATTCCTCAGATAACAGACATGACTTTGAATTCTCTGGGAGCATTTTCTTCTTAAATTCTAGTTTTTCTTCTTTTTCTTCTTTGAATCTTGTTTTAGTAATGAGTTGAAGTTAAAATTTATTGGATTAGCTGCTGCCAATATCTGTCCTTGCAGAAATGGCAAATTTTCCTTTCCTAGCTGTTGCTCTTCTTCAATGATTCTGTATGTTCCTCCCTTCCGCGGATTATGAAAACTGGCCACCATCAATCCTACACTAGTCATTTGTTTCCTAAACAAACCTTGCAAAGATATCACCTCTCCCACATTCCTTATGCAAAGGAGCCATCCCCCTCTTTTAGTTTGTGGAGTTATGTGGCACGCCTTAATTGAATTGCACCCTTTAGTTCCATGCTCAGAGCAGAGTTCCAGGCAACAACTTCAATTCTGCTGGAGCTCTCGTCAAGGACACAGCCTTTGCTGGTTCTCAGGGGCGATGTGTTTTTAAATGATAGGTCTGTAGAAACACGAGGGGGGATAATGCTGTCTCCCTTTCTCTACCATCTTTTTTTTTTTTTTCACTCTGGCGCTTATTCTGCCCTTGTTGTTTCCCTTCTTATAAATTAACAAGGAAATAAAATAGACTGTTTTAATGGATTACTTATGCAATTTTTATGTGGCATGTTTAATATATTACATACATTTTGCTTTAGGTCTTGAAATTAAATGCACCGAATATAAAGTGCATTGGGGTGTAATTCTTTTTCAAGTCAGTGTTTAAGTCTGGTCCACGCCTGCCTTAGAATCAGCTAAGGAGCCCTATTAAAAATGCAGATTTTTGGGCCAACTCTAGACCTATTGAATCAAAATTTCTGCCAGAAGGTGCCAGTAATATGTTTTCTAAGATTATTATACAACATGTAATATGTAAATGATTATATTATATAAAATATATAAGAAATAGTACATATATGAACAATTGTCCCCAAGTGATTCTTATGAAATTTAAACTTTATTAGCATTAATAATGTCAAATTTATCATTTAGTCTTAAGGCTAAACATTCACCATTGTTTCCTTTTGTAGCTGTATAGGAAAAACAAAGTGGCCACTTGAGACAATTGATAATTAACTTTGCAAGAAGTATTGAGAAAATGAAAGATAATAATCTTGTTGTCATGTGGTGTTTAATTTGAATTATCCACAGAAAGACCTCAGTTCAGAGCATCACCTTTCATATATATAAAAATGAGTTAAAGAGCTTAAGAGACTGTGTACTATTTACATAAGATACACAACAGGAATTAGAATTCATAGGCTGACACAAATGCTGGGCTGGCCCATGGTAGAGCAATAATTTATTTTGTTTGGCTCTGATTTCAACAGCGTTAAAGGGTAAACCATCAAGCTGTTCATTAGCATTTTGAGCAACACCCCAACTAACCCGTAGAAATGCTATTAAAACAGTAAGTGTGGTTGGAGAGGAGAGGAATGACTGGCAGTCCTAATTAAATACTTGAATTAACACTAGAAAAATGAAAGCAACTTGATCTAAAATTCTCTAGTAATAATAAAAAAAGAAAGTGCCCAAGATAAATCTTGGAGGGAACACTGACATGTAGCAAGAAACAAGAAAAAGGTTTTCTGCCTTTCGGGTACAAAGACGTGAGCCACTTCCATTTGATGGGCACTTCTATATGCATTAAAAAGTAAAGACGTGCCAAAATGAGGTTATAAAATTGTGGTATGCATTTAACATAGTTATTTTGTTTTTATTTTTTGGTTTTTTTGCAAGGAAGGTTTGCTCTGAGCTAACATATGTTGCCAGTCGTCCTCCTTTTATTTATTTATTTTTTCGTCATCAAAGCCCCAGTACATGGTAGTATATCCTAGTTGTAAGTCGTTCTAGTTCTTCTATGTGAGCTGTGGCCACAGCAAGGCAACTGGCAACTGACACATGGGTGGTGTGGTTCCATGACCGGGAAATGAACCCGCGCAGTGGAAGTGGTGAGGACACTGAATTTTAACCACCAGGCCATCAGGGTTGGCTCAACAGGGACATGTTTTGAACATTCACAGTACAATACAATACATTTTGTTATAAGATAATTAAAGGGTTTATTAAAAAAAAATCATAGTGCACTGAGGGTCTAGTTATGAGACACAAGTAAAGTTGAATGAAGTGTTTTCTTTCTTTAATCATGTCAGTGTATTTCTAACTATATATAATTTCATTTGGAGATTATAGTCAACTTGTAAATTTGAAGCGCCTTCTGAGCATGAAGCTTTATTGGTTTCCTATTATTGTGGTAACAAACTTTACAATTTCAGTGGCTTAAAGCAATACAACTTTGTTATCTTAGTGTTCTGGATGTCAGAAGCTCGAAAATGGGTTAGCAGGGCTATGTTCTTTTGGAATCTCTAAGAAATCTGGTTCCTTGCCTTATCCAACTTCTAGAAGCTTCCAGAATTCTTTGGCTCATAAGCCTGCATCATTCCGACTCCCACTTCCATCCTCACACTTCTAATTCTGACCTCTCTATTATCACGTTTGTGATAACATTGCGCCCACCGGGATAATCCAGGATACTCTCCCATCTCAAGAGCTGTAACTTAATCACAGCTGGAACGTTCTTTTATAATGTCAGGTAACATATTCACAGGTTCCAGGGATTTAGGACCTGGACATCTTCGGGAGGCTGTTATTTTACCTACCACAGAAGCCCAGACTCCACTTTAAGAACTTCCCTACTCTGCATGCTCTGCATTGTAATACAGTTTGGGCTTATTTTTTCTAAACTCTTCAACTGGAATCTTAGAGTATTTATTACCAATGGGTCACAGAAGATCTCACTTTCCAGGGTATGTACTTTCAAATGCCTGTTGCAGAGAAGATAATCTCATAATGTGGCCACTGTAACTTGGTATAAAGTAACATAGAAACTACATCTTTTACCCAAAGTATGCATAATAGGGAACTAAACATTTATATCTCTATAAAAAGACAGAAAAAAATGTTGCTTCTCCTGCTGTGACATTCAAAAAACTGTCTTTTTTTTCAATACAAGTCTATGTGTTAAACATTGTTAATATACAGTATATAAGCTCTAAGGATTCACAGTGAACAGAAAAAAATTAATATATATGCTCTAAGAACAAAACTAAATCAATAAAATAAGATTCTGGCTAAAATTTGCCAAGTTTACTTATATATAATAATTATATTATAATTACTATAAGAAGACCTTTATTAATATGTTTTTGCTCTAAACTAAGAAAACGCAGAATAGTTTCAACTCCACCGTTAGATTAAAAAGTGAGGTTTAAAGATCAATACTAATAGAAACAACTATTTGATTAGTCTTTCTGCCTCTAGATAGACTCATTTACTCACTTATCCATCCGGTTAGTTGACAGATACTAACCGAATGCACAGTATAGACCAGACACAGGTGTGACAGTGGAGCAACAAAGCCAAGTGTATTACGATGCCTACTTTTCAGCTAAGTCAGTGATCTGACAAACTTCAACTAGAACGAGCTAAATGTTTACAATAAAAGTAGCAAAAGTGAAACAGTGCTTTCAATAATAAGATTAAATAAAAGGAAAGGAGGAGCATAAAATTTATATTTTAATTTTGTATGCTTTAATCTAAACTGGGGAAAATGAGTAAAAGTACTGAATTGGAATATCATAACCTGATATTTTCAGCGCTTAAAAGATCCTATTTTAATGAATCTTATATTAAATATTGATGAGTGAAGATTGATAAATATGAATTAGGAAGTATTTAATTATATTTACCTCCATTATCATTAATTTATTCAATCAGTAGTTCACTCAATAGATATTTATTAAGCTCTGTTATATTCCAGCAGCTGGGTCCACAACCCAAACCAAAAAAGTAAGACTCCTGCTCTCATGGAGTTTACATTCCAAGGAACTAATGCAATATGCTCTGATGCTCCAAATACTTCGCTACACTTTCGTGGTAAACATTGCCCGCAAGGACAGTACTAAATAAGGTCATGATATGCTTCACGCCTGGAATTCTTCAGCCCGGGCTGTACTTCTGTGCAAACGCCTTAAGGCAGCTCTGCCATTAGGTGTGCAATCTTAGGCAAGTGACTTAACATTATAACCTTGTTGCCTCCTCTGCAAAAGAGAAACAGTAATATTTGGGTTCTCCTGGAGATTAAATGACATAACGTGTCCATCGTTCAGCAGTTATTAGTAGTATTGTTTTGGCTCCGCGGTTCCAAAAATGTGCTTGCTCATTCGAGTCACCTGGGGATTTTTAAAAACATTCCAAAGCCCAGGCCACACACCGGACCCATTAGGCCCCAATCTTGGGGCTGGGACATAGGCGTCGGCGCCTTTTGAGCTCCCCAGGTATTTCCAATGTGCAGACAAATTTGGGACCCACGGCAGTGTGGCTTATTGACATTTCCGAATAACATTTGCCCATCCACCTCTCTTCACCAGAGGTGGAAGCAGGAAGCCTCACGAGCTTAATGAAAGGTAGCCGAGGTGCACATGTCTCTGTCCCATCCTGTGACTTGGATCCAAATCGCTTCTAAATCTCCTCAGGGCAGAGGGATGGGAGGGAGTCCTGGCCGCCACTGCCTACGCACAGCTGGGAAGTTTAATGGGACCCTTAGGCGGATAAGCAGGGCTGGGACGCTTCCACCTGCGGCCACTGCTGGCTGGCGGGCGGGAGACGCGAGGAGCCGAGACAGCAGCCCTCCCGGAGCGCGGGGCCCGCCGCAGAGGCCGCACCGCGCCGACAGGGAGGCTCGGCAGCCGGCGCGTCCCCTGGGGACCCGCCCCGGCCGGCGCGCGCCGCTCGGGTGGGCGACCTCTGCGCCCCGGCCCTCGTCCGCCCTCCGCCCAGCGACTCGGCTGAGGGCCGGCGCAGCCGCGGGTCGCCTTCGCCAGGCCGAGCGGGGCCGCCGCCATGGAGCTCGGGCCGCCTGGCGGCGCCGGGCCCGCCGAGCCGGGGCCTCGCTTGCGCGGCTTGCGCGGCGACGACCGGGCGGCCTCGGCCGCCTGGCTGAGCGAGGCCTCGGCCGGGCGCCGCGCTCCGTCCGTGGCGGCCGTGCTGCCGGCGGGGGGCAGCGGGGAGAGGATGGGCGTCCCCACCCCGAAGCAGTTCTGCCCCGTCCTGGAGAGGCCGCTCATCAGCTACACTCTGCAGGCCCTCGAGAGGTAAGGCGGCGGCGGCGCGCCCCGGCCGGCCCCGCTCACGCTCCCGCTCCCGCCCCCGCCCGCCTAGGGGCCGCGCTCCTGCACTGCGGCCGGCGGCTCCCCGGCGCGCGGAGCGGGGTCGGCCCCCGAGTCCTGGACGCGCCCGGCGTCGGCGTGGTGGGGCCAGCCCGGCTCGGGGAGCGGACTCCGGGCAGGGGCTGGGCCTGGGGACGCTCGGTTCCCACTGGGGCCTGTGGGGCCTGATGACGAGAAGCTATTTTAGGAGTCTCTGTGCCTGCCCGCCCCTCTCCCTCTCATTCTCTCTGTTTCTGTGCCTGTGTGGGTGATGAGCTGTCCTTGCACGTCTAATTTCGTGGGCCTTCGTTCACTTTGTCCATTCATTCAGTAGCATTCGCTGAGCACCTCCCGTGAGACTGTGCTGACTGCTAAGTGCCGAAGACGGACCGAGGAGCAGAATCCAAGCCTTTCAATCGTGGAAACAGCTTTAAGGCGGCTAGATTCTGAAATCGAGGCCAATGCGTGCTTTACCTTGTTAGAAAATGGACTGCTTCCTTGGGGAAACGAAGGAGGGAGAGGGAATGAGATAAGGAGGGGAGCGGTAGTGAGGAGCTAAGGAGGTGAAAATGGGGGGATATGTTGTGTTATTTTTGGCACCGAGCAATGTGAGGGAGCTGGGGTGAGGCTGGAGGGATGGGATGCTGGGCGATTACAAAGGTCCACAGACGTGTTGCCAGGGTGTTTCAACTTCTTGAAGCCAGTGGGGAGCTGTGGTAGTAGGTTAAACCTTGGCTTGAAGTGAGCCATCGGCCTTTCAAGAGAGGTGGCATCCTTTAGCCTTTGCGGGACGCTTTAGTGAGGGCGCAGCTAGTGAGGTTCTAGTCTGAGGACGGTAGCGTGTTATCCGGAAAAGAGCCCTCCTCTTTTACACACCCCAGAAGCCAGAGGGCCAAGCTGCTTCGCATATGGTTTACTTTCTGAATATTGTCATTTGGAGACTGGAAGTGTAAAGTGCCATAACCACCCTTGATTCATGTAGTCAGGCCAGTGGTTACATCTGAAACTCATACAAACATTGACAGTTCCAAATTCTTCCTTTCTCGCTTCTGTAGTCTTCCGTTTCTCTGGGTAGTTGCGCGGTGGGGGTGGGCGGTGGGTGGTGTGTGTGGGTTTCCTTGAAACCATTGTATGGATCGTGCACCTACAATATGCTGGTGTCATAGACATTGTGACAACATAGCCCATGTATGCATGGGACACAATGCATCTTGGCCAGCAGGATCTTTGTCTACTTAGTAATTAGCTAAAGGGGACTGTAGTCATTGTAATGTTTCTTTCTTTCCTATGAAAAGACTCCTATATTAATTTGCATTTTTGCGTCTTAACTTCTGAGGCAGCCTGAGATAGGTGGATGCTAAAAAAAAATCTCACTTTTAAAGTAAACTGGTTTGGAAAGGCCTTGTTTATAGGAAATAAGACAGAAGAACACTTTTCTATTTTCTTAATTGATAACGGCAGTCTTAAAATTCTAATAGCAATAGTAACTAATCAAAATTCACTTTGAAACACTTCATGGCTAATTTTTGTTATTATTACAATGTCTGAAGAATTTGTGGAATATGACTATACTTTAGGTATGTCTCAGGAAATCCTTGGAAACCTTGCTGTGCAGGGGTGTACGGTGCTTCTTGACCATTTGCCAAATGAAAGCCATTCTCTTTCTTTTTCTAAAAGATGGCTCCCTGCACTACTGATAGTTTTCCTAGAGCATGATGCTAAGAGGCTGAGGCAATTTCATCCCAAAAGATAAATTATGGAAGTTCAAACAAGGAAAGGAAATAGAAGCACAGAATGTCTTGTAAAATTCTTACTTTTTGCTTTCTGGAGAAATTATGCATGCTTACTAATTAAAGGGGAAGCACAGCTCTGAGTCTCCCAAATAAGAAGGAATTGGATGTCACCATTGTTAACCATCTAGGTTATATTAAGAGGGTATCGGCCCTTCTTGCCCTTTGATAGCTGTGAGTTTGTGATGTCTAGAATTTGACTTCAAAGCTCGTTTTATTTGCCCCTTCTAAGTTAGGACTTTCCTTGCTCAGACTTTTGCCATCTCACTAACAGAGGCCTGAGAAGTTGTGAGTAAACTTTTATTTCTTAGTCATCATTTCTTGACTAAGAAATTAAAGATATTTGTTGAAAAATAACCCTTGTGGGTTGATTTTTTTTCTTTTGGAATTTTGAACTAATATAAAACAAATTATCTGCCTCAAAAATAAACTAATTAGGGCCTAAGAAAGAGCAGGTGGTCACCCATGAAGTTTTGGCCCTAAATTGGGATAGGAAAATGAAAAGACACATGACTAGTCATCCTTTTAGTTAGACAATGCCAGACGTGTGTTTCTTTCCACTCCTTCATTTACCCACCCCAAGGGACTGAAAATTTATAGCCGTGAAAGGGAAAAATGAATGAAACAGGAGGTGGAGCAGATAAAAGATACCAACAAAACTTGAAGAAAGGAGAGAGAGAAGCAGTAACCAATCAGATTCAACAGACCCAAGAAAGCTGAGACATAAGCCTTCAGGTAGAGCAGCTGCGAAGAAGCAAGTTGGTTGAAGTCATAGGATCTTGGAAAGGATCAGGAATTAGAGGCACAGTGTACCTCTGAAGGTGGGGTGGACAGAGCTCAGAAGACAACTGGTGGAAACCTTTAAAAGGAACAGGTAGACTCCCAGATCCCTGTCAGAACACTGGAGGCTTATTCTCTGGCTCAGAACCAGCACAGCCAATGGCCCAGTGAGGTGCTCTATGGTGAGAGAGGAATTAAAAGTAAGACTGCATGTTGGAATTATGAGACCCTTAGTACCTAAGGTAAACTAAAGGAAGCTTGATTTTCGGACATCATGCTACATATTAAATTTAGCACCTGTCCCTCTGTAATTGAGAAGTTGGAGGAGGCATTGAGAGAAAATCTGTTTTGTGAATTGACTGGAACTTGAGATCATTTATTTTTTCCTTCTGTCAAAATTGGGAAAATACACATTTTTTCCAGTTTAGCCAAGTTCTACTTCTGTGCCATTGAAGTTTCTTAGAAAAGTAATTATCATATTAAATGAAATTCAAAAGAATCTCTGAACTCTCACTAATCTGAGATGTGTTGGCTAAAGGCTCTATCCGGATAAATGGAGGCTCAGAGTCTGTATCAAAATCAGGTATATGTGGGTATCTTTATTATAATTAGCCATCATATGTATATACATATAGACATTTATAAGTATATGTATGTGTTTATATATGTATACTATACTTATTAAGATTATACAACTGGTAGTTCAGATCTCTGAATCATGGGTGTAACTAAAAGGATCAAGCATAACAACTAATTTCAAGGTTTTATTAGGAACAAGGGACTTTCAGAAGTTGATTAAAAATGATGTTTTGGGGTCGGCCCAGCAGCATAGAGGTTAAGTTCGCGTACTCTACTTTGGTGGCTCGGGGTTTGTGGGTTTGGATCCCAGGCACGGACCTATACACTGCTCATCAAGCCATGCTGTGGCAGTGTCCCACATATAAAATAGAGGAAGATGGGCACAGATGTTAGCTCAGGTACAATCTTCCTCAAGCAAAAAGAAGATTGGCAACACTTGTTAGCTCAGGCCCAATCTTCCTCACAAAAAAAAAAAAAACAAGAAAAAAACCAGTTTCTTGGAGTTTTTGAAAGTTTTATTTGGCCTTTTAGAGGGAATTGAAATATAAATTTTGGAACTACAGACTATAACATGAAGAGAACTTTGATTTTTTTCACATCTTTCTGACAAGGAACTGAGATCAAGGGTATGAGTCCCTTACATAACTATTGCTTTATGACCTGAGTTTCTAAAAGGAAATGTTGCTCCAAGGAAAATATACGACAGTGGTATTATTGGCAGGGGCATAAAGCTCTGACCGTTAAGTTGTAAAAGCCACTCACTATTGGTGAACTCGTATCGAAATTTTACTGTTTAGAAAGAAATGTATTCTCAGGTCTGAAGTAGGAAGTAAAAATTCCTGCCAGTCATTTCATTTCTGATTTCAAATAGCTAAGGAAAGAAAGTCTCATTAACAGGGATTAGTTAACCTGGAATAGCTAAATAGACTAAAATAACAACTGCAACAAAAGCAAGTTAGGGAGGCAATCTTTGGCCATGCTTATTCAGATTCACGGTGGTGGTGGGCTGGGTGGGGATGGGAATTCTGACAATAGATTTGAACAAGGTCTGGCACAGCCTTCCCCGTAGCTCCTGAGGTTTCTCGAGTTCTGTTAGGGGGAGGATGCTGCTTAAAGTAACTTGTTCCTTGATACAGTTCCTTGCTCATCAAAAACCTTATTATAAGTTGGTCCAAGATATATCTTCTATAGGAAGAAAATGTGCTGTCCCCACTGATAAAAGACATTCCAGACCTTGTGATAGTAATGTATATCATTGTAAGCTAGTATCCTGGCATCCTAATTCATGTTTCAGTCCATTTTTAGTTTGATAATGTGAGTTAGTCTCCTCGAGTCTGATAACTACAGATTAATTTGAAGGAAAAAAAACCATTTTGTCAATTTGTATGTGTTTATGTTATGGAAACCCTGAATTTTGTGATTGAGATTGGGTTGCTTTCTTGTCTTATCATTTGGAAAACCAATGGAAATTCATTTTTAGTAGTATTTTAAGACTCCATGGTGTGTTTTTCAGTGCATTAACTTATGGCTTATTTGATTTTTTTACTTTCTCCTTGTCTTTTATTTTTGTTTTCTTGCATACATAAAAAAATCATTCTCTCCTATATTTCTGAAAAACACTGCAAATTTTGTTTGAACCAGATAGATTAGAAATAAATACATAAATGTTAATCCAAATGAGGAATGTTGATTGCTTGAATTAAGCTGAGGTAGTAGGATTGGAGTAGGGAAGATGGAAGAGAGATTTAGGCGGTAGAATTGACAGGGTTTGGTGATTAATTGGATCAGGAATTCAGC